AGGAAAAAGATTTAGGTGAGAGGGCAGGTGCCAGGCACACAAGCGGCACTCGATAATTGCTCATTTGCAGAGGAACGATCTGGGGGACCCAGGCCCACGGGAGATGTCCACGGCAGTGGCTTACCAGTCGGTGTGCGGCTCGTCGATGACCAGCAGCACCCTGGAGGCGGCGCCCCCGCGGCCTGCGCCCCCAGAGCCGCCGCCCACCTGCTCGCTGAAGGTGGCAGCTGCTGCCGCCGTGGTCTGCTTGACCGCGTTGGACAGCGACGAGAAGAAGCCACCGCCCCCCGAGGACCCGGGGCTAGGGGCGGCCGGAGAGGCCGCGGGGGCGACCCCGGAGGACCTCTCAGCAGTGGCGGTCCCGGGACCGGGCGTGGCTCCGGGGCTGTGGGCACCGGGCGGCGGCGGGGGTGGCTGCGGACGCTGCAGGTCTGTCATGTACCCATTTGGCAGATTGGCCATAAAGTTGCTGTCCGACAGGCGGCGCCGCAGGTAGTTCATGGCTGCGGCTTGGGGCAGGGGGTCCTAGGGGTGGTCTGGCCAGGAGCCGCGGGGGCGGACTGCGCGGTGCCCAGGAGCACAGCTGCGCTCTCAGGCACGACACGACTCCTCCGCTGCCCACCGCAGACTGAGGCAGCGCTGAGTCGCCGGCGCCGCAGCGCGGATGGTCGCGCCCGTGCCCCCCTATCTCGCGCCTCGCGTGGTGCGGTCCGGCTGGGCCGGCGGCGGCGCGGACGCGACCAAGGTGGCCGGGAAGGGGAGTTTGCGGGGGATCGGCGAGTGACGTCAGCGCGCCTTCGGTGCTGAGGCGGCGGTGGCGCTCGCCGCCAGGCGGGGGCGAAGGCGCTGTCCGCGGTGCTGAAGCTGGCAATGCGCACGCGCCTCGCCGCATCCTGTTCCCCTCCCCCTTTCTGATAGGGGATGCGCAATTTGGGGAATGGGGGTTGGGTGCTTGTCCAGAGGGTCGGGGTCGGTCATCAGGTAGGCACCCCCACTCCGCCTCATCCTGGTCCTAACATCCACTCGCACTCATACACAGGGCCCTCCGCAAATACTCGGTTTGTAGTGTTGATATTCAACTCAGAAGGCATTTTTTGGGGGGAGGGGGGCAATGGAAGCACACTCAGAGACACGAAAGTAGAGAAATAACCCCCTCACAGAGGGGGGTGAGGTCACACGCAGTGCCTGCGGGGAGATTAGTCTCCCACGTCCACACAGGCTCAGCTAGGCAGAGAGTGGGGGCGTCGTAGACAGCATCAGACAAGCGGAGGTGGACACTTGGGCGGTGTACACACCCTTGCCCAAGGTGGCAAGGGGGGCCTGGAGGCACACAAGAAATGACACACATATAAACACACACAAAAGTGAGGAAACATATAAGGGCATGTACAGACAGAGAACACACGCCAGTCTAGGTATACATACAGACATACAAGTCCAGGGTAACACATATGGGCATATTACATACACGCATGCATACACCCATACGCACACATACACAGGCAACACACTGACACACAGAGACCCAGGGAAACTCATATGAGAATACGCTCGCAAACAAAACACATTCCCACCGATGATCATGGAGAAACCTAGATCTGCAACACAGACATTCTCTGCAGCCCCAGCCCTGGTGCATGTCCACCCCCACACCAGAACACACTTGGTATATACGCCACCATCCCTTTGCTCTGGACACAGCCAAAACCCATGATAACCACCTGATGTCATCAGTGCCCATGGCTGTCTCCCCCTGCACCCAAGAACTTTCCACAGAGGCAGGCCCATCCCATGGTGCACACACAGTAGGTACCAAATAATGTTTGCATATAAGCAAATGAAGTAGTCCAAGCAGAGGTGGGATATGGGAACCTGTCAAATCTTTATGATTCTGACTACAATAAAATCACTAAGTCATAATCATTTGTTCACTGTTTGTACCCAACTGTTAACTAAGCTGTTTACATGCATCATTTCATCCAACCCTCACAACAATCCAATGGGGTGGATAATATAATTTCTATTTTATAGATGAAGGAATATAAGAACTCCAATTAATTCCCAAAGGGTCATGTTCACTTTATGATCAATACATTTTTTTCTTTTAAGAATGTGCCAGGAGGAGAAAACATCCAGTGCCAATGTGGCCGGAACAAGCTGAAGGGGGTTGTGGTAGCAGGGGCCAGATTGGGTAGGACCTTGACCATAGTGAGCAGTGATGGTGGACTAGGAGAGGTGGCAGAAGATAGGCAAGAAGTAAGTAGATATGGAGTCTCTTTTGCCTGCAGAATTTTCAGGTGAATCATCCACTTATTCATTTGTTCATCCTTTATTCATTAAATCATTGGCTGGTTTAAACAAGGCAGTAATAGTGTGGGGTCTGGAGACACAGGGCCTGGGTTCAAGCGGGGTCTCCACCATACACTTGGGAAAGTGACTTAATCTGAGATTTGGTTTCCTCATCTGTAAAAAGGGTACATCTCTAACCCACCTCTAAGGAGAGGGGTAGGAAGGGGGCAACCTCCGTACCTTTGCATGTGCTGTAACTTCTGCCAGGAATGCCCTCTCCTTCCCTTTCTCGAGGGCTGCCTTTGGCCACTGTCTGCAGGAACTCCTCACTTCCAGGTCTCAGATTCCATCCCCTCCTCCTCTAGGCTTCCACAGTACCCAAGTCAAACATTTCCTAAACCATCCGCTACTCCCTCCTCCAACCCAGCCAGCTTCAGTCCCACCTCTACGCCTTTGATTTGGCCACTCTTTCCTCCTCCCTTCAGGATTCCTTCTCTGGCATTCCAAATCCCAGTGTTCCCCAGATGGGGATCTCCCCGCAAATCAGATATTTTCCAATGTCTTGAAGTATGTGCTCCCTGGTTTTTTGCCCAGTAACGGAAGCAAACAAGCTGTGCAGGGTGCGGTGCCCTCTTTGGAGACAGGAACAGCTGCAGGTCTACAGATCCTTCTGGCTCCTTTAGGTCTGAATTCAGGTTCCTCAGGAAACTATCTCCAGGCTGCGCCTCTTCCTAGGGTCCCCATTCCTAGGTTCCTAGTACTTGTGGCCCTAGCACCATTTCCTTTTTCCAGTTGGCTCAATTTCCAGAAATTAATTTTTTGTAGATTGTTTTGTAAAGGAATGAGGATTCACCTCAGGAGTGCCTCAATTCACTAAGGCAAAGGTAAGGCTCCCCCAAACTGTCTCCATCTTCTTCAGCAGGAATAGGCGTACAAAAGGGGCCCCAAGAATGATTTTGCTGTACACTGGTGAGCAATGACTCTCAAACACACACCCCTGACATATGTTCACATTCAGTATTGTACCCATGTTTGTAACTCACACATAGATATCCATGGTACCTTCATGTGTATGTGCATACACGCATGACTCCTGCATTGTTATGGCATACACACAGTTGTAACCTTACACACATGCCACATATCAATACATCCTTAATTCTTGCACAGCCCCAAAGGTCTGCATCTCTCTCCCTCTCTCTCTCACACACAGCTGAATTCCCACTTTATTGTAAACATATACCTCTCTCATACCCTGTAGTAGCAACCAGAACCCCTCACTTTGGCTCAGTCTTCCCAAGATGACCAGTAAGTACTCATCAGCTTCCACTTCACTTCAACTCATTGACTGGTCCATTTGAATAAGGGGAAAACGACCCAGAGAAGTCAAGTAAGTGTACCGATATACTCTGGGTGTGCATGTCACAAACCTCCCACCCAAAACCTCCCCACACAGAGGGGTCCCCTCCACCCACAGCACTCTTGATATTTAAGACCTCACCACAATCCATGATGCTTCAAAAATGTCCAGCCTACTACCTTTCTGTGCGTGTTTCCTTTGTAAAATGGGGATAATAATACTGACTCACATGGGTCTGCTCTGGACGAAATAAGTTCATGCTATGGAAAGCCTTAAGACACTACTAAGCACACAGTAAGTACTTTCTAAGTAGCAGCTATTACCATGATTATTATGATTCTTATGATGCGTCTCTTCACAAGGGGCCTGGCATTCAGTAAGTGGTAAATGAATGAGCAAATGCTAAGAGCCCTGGTGTCTGGCTTTGTTCCCTTTACTGCGGAGACACGTAACGCTCTGATTCTTCTTCTTCTCTATTCCCCGTGATGTCCAGCACTATTGTTAGTATACAGTAGGCGTTAAGTGTTGAATAGATGTTCACACGAAAGGAATACCTTCTGAGTCCGTTCCCTCGCTCAGATGTCCTCTTTCTATCAGCCCTCCTCCACCCTAGCTGCTCAGACTTAGCTTTAGTATACAGCAGGCGCTAATAAGTGTTGAATGAATGAACAAATACCAGGGGAAAGTGTCTGGATTTGTCTTGGGGGCTCCTGCGGGCAGACACTGACTCTTAACTTCTTTGCCCCCGCCTCAGCTCAAAGCGCAACACAGGCACTTCCTCGGCCCGCCCCCCGCCTCGCCGAGCTATTTGTCGCTGGTAATTGCGGCATTGGAGCTAGGCTGTCGGGAGTGGGTGGGTGCAGGTGCTTGGGCGGCAGAGTGCCAGCCTCGGCCACGCCTCTGCCGTTCATCCTCCACAGACGCGGAGTCGGAGTCGGCCAGCAGAGGCTCCTCTGAGGCTCCAGCTGGTGGGAATCTAGGGAGGTCCAGGAGGCGGGGAGACAACGAACAAGCACGCCGGCCAATCAAGAAGTGCCTGCCAAGACAAGTAGCCAATCAGGGAACTCGTAACGCGGAGCTCTGCAGAGGAACGTGCGGGGCGGCCCTGGAGCACTAAGGGGGGGCTGCGCAGGGCCCAGACACTGGGGTTATGGCAGCGGCGGGGAGAGGCTGGGGCTGCACACTCGCTTTCACTCCTGCCAACCTGCGACCACAGTGGAAGATACTGTTGTCCGCAACAGACTGCTGTGTCTTGGCCCGTGCTGTGCCCTTTGCCCTGTGGGATGCTATCACCCTACTTTTGGGGAAGGGGATGGGTTGTTTTTCCTCCTTTAAGGAATCATAGACGAGCTCGAAGAGGTTAGTTTATTGAGGTTTGGAAGGTCAGGGTGCTCAGAGTGGAGGAGAGAGGTGTTAGAGTTTCTCTTCCTCAGGGTCTTTGCAAGCAGGCACGTGTAGACATGGTCGTTTCTCCTCCACCACCAGCTTCTGCCCCTGTAGCTCCTCACACCGTGGCAGCGGTCTCCCCCAGAAGGTCACGTTCTTTTCGCCCTGACCTTCGACCATGGAAACGGTGGGCCTGAGGCATTAGGGGTGGGAAGGAACGGAAGGGAGAAGCTCAGGGAAGGCAAGAATGCATTCAAATCTTATTGAGCGCCTGCTATGTGCCAAATGCTACCTTTTGTTTGTTTTATCTGTTTTCTTTTTTTTGAGACAGGGTCTCATTCTGTTGCCCAGGCTGTGCAGTGGCACAATCATAGCTCACTGCAGCCTCAATCTCCTGGGCTCAAGTGATGCTTTTGCCTCAGCCTCCCAAAGTGTCGCTGGGATTACAGGCGTGAGCCACTGTGCCTGGCCTCCCAACATTACTTTTTAGCTATGGAATATTGGGCAATTTCTTTAGCGTCCCTGTGCCTCAGTTTCCCTCATCTGCAAATGAGAATGGTAGGAATAGTAATATTAATACTCACCTCACGGGGCCGAGTGAGGATAAATGAGTTAATTCAGGTAAAGTGCTCAGAGCAGTGCCTTACACACAGCAAGTGCTCAATAAATGCTGGTGAATGTTACTTGTTGGCATGAGCTACTTTCTCTTACCTCCAAAATATATATCCTTTATATCTCTTTCCACTGCCTCTAGGAAAAAACCCAATGCCTTGTCCTGACATTCAAGGCCTTATCATTGGGCCCAAATCCCTGCCCCAAGCCAATCTCTCTCTGTCTTTCTCCTCCACTTTATTCAAGCTCAGTCCATGTCCAGAAAGGTCTTTACCTGGGTTGTTTCTCCCACTAGGCAAGCCCTCCATTCACTCCCATCCCAGTTTTCTCCATTGCTTCTTCCTCCGCTCAGTCTCTCACTCACTCAAGTCCTTTGTGCCTCCATTCAACACCTCTAATTCATCTTCAGGCCCCACTCTAACCCCCGCAGCTGGGAGATCTCTTCCCAGATGGCAGCCCTTCCACGAGCTGGGAATAGTCCACTTAATCTAGTAGCTTGATGTATGTGGAAGGAAGAAAAGGGATGACCGTTTTAACCCTCTGGCACCTGGATGTTAAATGGATGAACATTTAACACCTGGGCCCTTCTGGCACCTGGAAACACTTATGGCAGCTAATCACCTAGCTCCAAGTCTTTGTTCACAGTCTTGATGCCAGGAACGCCTTTCCCAACCCCTACCTTCCCTGGGAGGCCCAATCAGCTTCCTGGACCTAGGTTGAGGTGGCAGCCCCTGTTGCATGCACCAGCTGTTCCTCATATGCCTCCTGTCAGGGGCCTGCTCAGCTGGGTCCCTTGGAGGATCCACAGGATCTGGGCTGTGTGTATCTGCAACTGTTGCTGAAAAAGCCTTGGAGTGCCTTAGGGCAGTGAGATGCTGACAAAGTGGATGGAGGCATGAGTGACTGTGGGAGCCAGGCAGTGAATGGAGGCCTGAGTGGCGGCAGCTAAAAGCATGAGTAACTAAAGGTTGGAGTCAATGACACATGAAGGACTAAGTGAATGGGAGAGTGGATGAGTGACTGAACGAGTGACTGAGGGGCACAGAGGCTACGAATTCTTCCCCAAGAGCTTCTTTCTCATCTTCTTTCGTTTCTCCCCACTTTCTGCAGCTGGGAGGTGGAACTCGGCAAGGCAGATACCTTAGATTCAGCAGTGGAAGCCCTGGTTTCCAGGGGTAGCTGACTCTCCTGCCTGTAATATCATGACCCCCTCCCAGGCATACTTTGCCCTCTCACTCACGGGTACTTGGGGAGCAAGGGTGTGCAGAGGCGCTGGCGGGCACGGGTAGGATTAGGTCCACAGGGGGGCATGCACAGCCCCCAGGTACTCCACTCTGACCATGATCCTTTCACTGCAATGAGGGGTAGGGGTCACAGAGTCAGAACTGGAGGTCTTGGTGGGAAGGTGAGAGGGAGGCTGCAGAGACGTGAGGTGCACAGCAGAGAGTTGGAAACCCCTTATCCTGCATGGGCCACCCCACCCTCAGAGCACAGTCTGGGGGACACTCACAGGGGCAGTGCTGGATGCTGTAGCAGTGACGAATATCCTGTTGTTGCCCGGTACATCGATGTCCGTCAAACTTGCGGCCCTTGCAGGTCCTCCAGCGTGACTGCTGGCCCGGGATTTCTTCACAGCTGATGGACTTCATGTTCCGGCGGACACAGGTGCTCCACTGTCCCCACAAGTCCCACTCTCCATCCACTGCAGAGACAGGGCAAGAGGAGATTGGAACAAAGCAGGGAATCAGCAAGAGGTTCAGAGGAAGAAATGAGGGCGGTAGGAGGGAGTAGAGGTGATCAGATGTGCGAATGGGGGATCGGGGTGGAAACAAGGTATCAGGGCCAGGAAAGGAGGAATCAGAGACAGGAGCAAGGCCTCAGCAGCAGGAACTGGGCAGCAGAGAAGGGCATGGGGGGCTTAGGCATGCAAATCGTGAACTCTGAGATGCTGACCAGGGCAGGGCACGGCTGTGTTGCAGATGTGGGTCCGGGTGGCATCACCAGCACAGGAGGGGCCTCCATGCTGGGGCACAGGGCGATTGCACGTCCGTTGTTCTATGGTCTGGCCCAGGCCACAGGTCACAGGGCAGGGGCTCACAGGGCCCCAAGGCCCCCAGCCCCCAGCCACTGTTGGAGGAGAAAAGGGAGTGAGGAGAAAGGCCTCCTCAATCCTTCCACTCAGCTCCTAGACCCTTGAAGCAGACTGTCCCCAAATGAAGAGCTGCATGGTCACATGGTCTAGGAACTCTAGAAATGGCAGAGCATCTATGCCCTCAATCAAGAGCCCCGCCAACCGCATCAGCAGCCTCATCCTGGTGTACCTGGGCAAGGCGGCAGGCCGGTGCACTTCCGATGCTCATAGGCTAGCCCTGGGCAGGGCTTCCCAGGAGGCTTCTGGGAAGGCTCAGGTGCAGAACACGTGCGGCTTCGTGTCTCCTTAGGTTCGTGGGGTCCACCGTGGCAGGATCCTGAGCAGGGGGTCCAGGGACCCCAGGCGGCCCAGGCCCCGTGTGCTGTGGTGGGGTGGGAGGTGGAGGGATGCAGGTGTGGTCATGCGTGCTAAAGCCCTCTCACCCTGGCAGTTCCCTGCTGTAACCCTGCAGACCCACGCTGGGTGCACCCATCAGCATCCTGTGGCTTCCCTCACTCACTGGGGCAGACCTGCTGGGTGTCACAGGCCTCTGATTCCTGTGCCTCTCCCGGGCAGTGGCCTCCACACTTGGGGGCAGGGTGATCACAGGCTCGTCTGCGGGTCCGCATCCCTTTGGAGCAGGTGACGGAGCAAGGCTCCCAGGGCCCCCAGTCAGACCAGCCGCCCATCTCTGTGGGAGAGAAGAGAGGGTAATGGGATGGAGGTGGGGTGTCATTCAGGGCTCTTTGCTTCCTCGAGTGCCCCACATGAGCTAATCCTGTCCTTATATCCTCTGCCACCACACTGGGCCCACCGTCCCCGCTCACTAGGCCTGCCGCAGAAGCCTTTATGTGGGTCCCTCTGCTTCCCCTCTCACCCCCACTGTGCACAGTCTGTTCTCCTCCCAAGCCCAGTCAGATCACGTTCCTCCCTTGCCCACAGTCTGAATCACTGAGATGAAAAGCCAACGTCCTCTCCATGGCCCCCAGGCAACGGGCCCTCCTCACCTCTCTGACTTCACCTCCTGCCACTCTCCTCCTTAGGTCCTTACAAACACGGGATGGGCCCACTCTGAGGACCTCTGTACCGATCGTTCCCACCAGTGCTGGGTGACAGGGAGTGCCCGCCTTGCGCATCCTCCTCACCAGGACAGCACTGCTTGTCCTCACAGGCCTGGAGCTGCCACTCCAGGGTCCCAAGTGCCACCTTCTCAGAGCACTGCCCGTTCCAGCCCACACAGCGCCGGTACCGCAGCTGGGAGCCCTCAGAGCATGTCACCGAACAGGGGGCCCATGTGGACCACAGGGACCATCGTGGGGACCTGTGGAGAAGAGCACACATATCCCATCCTGGCATGAGCTGACAAGGATGGCATGTGGGACTCCAGAGTGTGGGCAGGCATGAGGGGTTGCTAGGCAAGTGTGTGTGCGATGGATCGATAAGTCTCTCCACCTTTTAGGGATTTTGGAATACTGAATGGGAAGCAGTGGACATACAGTAAGTGCTTGATAATGTCATTTACCTTCAAAATCAGGCATCTGGAGTTACCATTGGAAGGCTGGCAAGGCCAACACTAGGCCTGCAGTAAGCAAAGGTAAGGACTAGGAACCAAGGGCAGATGTCAGAAACCCACCAGGTCACCACACTACACAGTAGCAGATAAATAGAAAGTGCTTAATAAACCTGAGCCATCATCCCTATGGCCTCAGAGGCCTCCTCAGAAATACCCTAGATCTATCCCCAACCCACTGCGTAGCCCTAGGTATGCTGTTCATGCCAAATAGATGTGAACTGTTGACATGACTTGGGGCCCAGAACTGCCCTCAAAAATCCCCAAGCTCCCATTCCCATGGTGTATCTGGGATATATAGTAAGCAAGTAGAAAACAGGTCTGGCATACAGTAAGGGCTCAATCCATGCAAGCTGGAAATCATGATCAGGAGACTAGAGCTACCCTCAGAAATCCTCAAGCTCATCTCCCAACCCTGCCATGCAGCTGGTATACAGGAAGTGCTCAATGAATGTGATCTGTCATCATAATTAGGGGCCTAGAGCTGCCCTCAGAATTCCCCAAACTCTCCTGCCCCCACAGTGTGTCGGTATACAGTAAGCACTCAATAAACATGAGCTGTCATCAAAATTAGGAAAATACCAAGCTGCACCCCCGCTGCAATGCTTCCAGTGTGCAGGAGGTGCTCAGTATGTGTGAGCGATATCAGTGGTTCTCAATCAGGGGTGATTTTGACCCCCAGGGGACATTTGGCAATGTCTGCTGACATGTTTGGTTGTCACAGCTGGTGGGGAGAATTGCTACTGGCATCTAGTGGAAGGCTAGGGATGTTACAAAACATCCCACAATATGCAGGTAAGCAATCCCCTCCCCCAACCAAGAATTTCCAGCCCCAAATGTCAATAGTAACAAGGTTGAGAAACCCTGAGGTATGATCACGATCAGGGCCTCAGGGCCACCCTTGGAAGTCCTAGAGAAAGAAAGTACCCAGTTTTGGGTGACCCCCGCAGACAGTCCTTCCCTCCCCGCATCCCCCGCCCCGAACGCCCCCTAACCTGCAAGGCTGACAGAGCCCGCCATTAAGTTCCTGGTAGGCATAGGCAGTGTTGAGACAGCAGTCTTTCACGCTGACACCACCCCCCAGGAGGCCCTTGCACTTGCCCGAGGATTCTTCATACTGGGTGAAGCAGAGCACGGGGTCTGAGCCTGTAACAGGGCCAGGGGGGGGGGTGGGTGGGGCTCAGTCAGGGATGTGGTGGACCTGGACACCCCTGGGGCCAGCTGGGCCCTCACCCCCTCACCTGTGACTGGCAGGGTGAGCAGCAGCAGCAGCGGCGGCAGCAGCAAGCAAGGGGCCTGCGCTCCCTCTGTGATCATGTTGAGTACTGCCCCCTGCACCTCTACCAGAGAGGAGATCACGCTTTATCTGGGTTGATCTGCTCCTGGAGTCAGCAGGGAAAGAGGAACCTAGAGGCAGGAGGAACTGGGAGGGCATCCTGCTTGGACCCCACCCTGTCCCCTCTGCCTCCTCTTCTACTCTCCCCTCCCCATTTCCTGTCTTACTCTTGGTCTTGTTTTGCTTGTTGCTGTATCCCCAGCACCTCATGCTCCTCCCAGCAACCTCTCAGTGTTCAATTGAAGCTCCTAGGACAGAGCGTGCAGCAACTTCCTAGCCGTGTGACCTTGGGTGAGTCACTTAACATCCCTGAGCCTCAGTTTCTCTATGTGGAAAATGCATAATCTCTAATGTAATGACAGGGTCAACCTCGTGGGGATGTTGAACCAGGGTGAAGTGAGTGTGCCATGCTCAGTGTGTCCCTGCTCATGGGGGTGGAGGAGGCATCGAGGCAATTGCTCCATCTTCCACCCTGCCTTAACCTCCAGCCTTAACCTCAGCCCTCGTTTCCTGAGAGGTTCCCTGTGGTCAGCTTGTGGTGGGGGTGGTCAGCACAAGGGAAGTGAGAAAGGGAAGTGGCAGGAGCCTGGGGAGGGATTCAGGAGAAGAATAGGGGCTATCCATTGCCCCATGGGCCCAACTGGGGACAACACCAGGGTCTGGAGTGATTAGGAGGGAACAAGCGGGGCCATGTTCCATCAGAGAACCCTCGGGCAGATAACACCCCCCTTCTGGAGCCTGTTTCCCCTCTGTAAAATGTGCTCACAGACAGCACCTACAACATAGGTAGGGTGTGTCGCAGAGATTGTGAGTTAAGCTTTTGTTTGTTTTTTCAAGATGGAGTCTCACTCTGTCGCCCAGGCTGGTGTGCAGTGTCATGATTTCGGCTCACTGCAACCTCTGCCTCCCAATTTCAACCAATTCTCCTGCCTCAGCCTCCTAAATAGCTGAGATTACAGGCGTGCACCACCATGTCCAGCTGATTTTTGTATTTTTAGTGGAGACAGGGTTTCACCATGTTGGCCAGGCTGGTCTCGAACTCCTGACCTCAGGTTATCCACCTGCCTCAGCCTCCCAAAGTGCTAGGATTACAGGCGTGAGTCACAGTGCCCGGTCAGGAGTTAAGCTTTTGGAAAGTCCTTAGAACAGTGCCTGGCATATAGTAGGTGCTCTGTGTTTGATAAATTTATTCAACATTTACTGAGCACCTACTGCATGCCAGATACGGTTCTCAGCATTAGAGCACAGAATAGGACAAAAATCCTGGCCCCCGAGAAGATGGATAATAAATGCTCCCCCTCCTCACAGAGGTCTTCCCCATACCCTTGTCTGGCATTCCTGTCACTCTCTAGCCCAGTAGCTTTCAAACTTTTTTTTTTTTTTTTAAAAGAGACAGAGTCTAGGTGTCACCTGGGCTGGAGTACAGTGGTCTGATCATGGCTCAAACTCCTGGGCTCAATTGATTTTCCTACCTTAGTGTCCCCAAGTAGCGGGGACTACAGGCACACACCACTACACAACTAACGTTTTTATTTTCTGTATAGATGGGATCTCGTTGTGTTGCCCAGGCTGGTCTCAAATGCCTGGCTTCAAGATTTTCTCCCAACCCTCAGCCTCCCAAAGTGCTGGGATTACAGGCATGAGCCATCACACCAGCCCTTCTTTTTTTTTTTTTTTTTTAATAAACCCTAATGAAACTCCAGGGCTTGCTTTAAAATTTTATTTTGCTTTTAATTACACAAAAAGAAGCGTAAGGAAAGATAGAGGGCAATGCCTAATTTCCTCTGCCCTCAGGGAGGCAGGGAGAGATACCATTCTGCAAATTCAAATGTAATAATTGGCCTGTGTTGAAACAGAATCTTCAGGAACACTGTTTTATGGGTAGTAAGGTATGTGTTAATATCTGGTATCCATTACATGTACTCTGTTCTCTGATAACATAAGCCTATCTTGAAATGTGCTTCGAACAAAGGAGTCTTGTTAAGATTCTAAGAACTTCAAGACAATCATTGCTGTGTTATCCTGTGAAAAACAAACTCTCCAAGAAAGCTGAAAATTGGCTGGGCGCGGTGGCTCATGCCTGTAATCACCACACATTTGGGAGATCAAAGGCAGGTGGATCACCTGATGTCAGGATTCGAGACCAAGCCTGGCCAACATGGTAAAACCCCGTCTCTACCAAAAATACAAAATTAGCGGGTGTGGTGGCGGACGCCTGTAAATCCCAGCTACTTGGGAGACTGAGCAGGAGAATCACTTGAACTCGGGAGGCGGAGGCTGCAGTGACTGAGATTGTGCCACAGCACTCCAGCCTGGCGACAGAGTGAGACTCGTGCTCAAAAAAAAAAAAAAAAAAAAAAAAAAAAAGAGAAAAAAATAGAAAAGGATATCTGAAATTCTGGCTGGCTGCTTTATTTAACCACCTGTTGCCCTGGTAATAATATTATCAATATTTCCTTTGTTTTTAAACTGTATAAATACTCATAGGATTCCCTGTGGAAGAGGACTGTCGGCACTCTATCTTCTCCCACACGTTTAGCAATAAAATGACTGCAGATTTCTTAAACAAGGAGTGAGTCTTGTCTTATTTAATTATTACATCCCTACCTGCTACTATGTATTTGCCTGCTTCTTGTTATTCTCACTCCCTAAATATCAGTTCCACAAGGGCAGGGATTTTTGTCTGGCTTGTTAACTGCTGGGTCTGCAGGACATTAGATAGGCACCAGCAAACAGTAGATGCTCAATAAACATCTGCTAAATGAATCAATCAATGAAATAAACAAAACTTTAGAGATTCTGGTAAGTGCCAGAAGGACAGTCTGACTTGGAGGTAAAAATGTGGGCATCCCATGGAGGGTAAGTTGTATTTCAAGTGCGAAGACCGGGATAAGATGACCTAGAGGGGATGAATGAGAAGAGAGAAAGGAGTCCCGGGGCTTTGCCCTGGGGAACCCCAGTATTTCAAGTTTTTGAGAAGTAGGAGAAGCCGGCCCAGGGGACTGAGCAGGAGGGGCCTGTGGAGGAAGAGGAAAAACAGAGAGGGTTTTTCTCCAGGGCCTGGAACATTTGACCTGTGGCCTCTCATACAGTCTCATTTGGCCTGTTATTTTCTCTCTCTTTTTTTTAAACCTATCTACACAGTTCTGTTTTTTTCTTTTCTTTTCTTTTTGAGACAAGGTCTGGTTCTGTTACCCAGGCTGGAGTGCAGTGGCGTCATCGCAGACTGCAGCCTCAACCTCCTGGGCTCAAGCCATCCTCCCACCTCAGCCTCCCGAGTAGCTGGGACTACAGGCACACGCCACACCTGGCTAATTTTTCAAATTATTTGGAGAGACAGAGTTTTGCCACATTGTCCAGGCTGGTCTCGAACTCAAAGTCCTGGGCTCAAGCGATCCTCCCACCTCAGTGTCCTCAGTAGCTGGGACTACAGGTGTGCACCACTATACCTGGGTAATTTTTGTTTTTCGTTTTCGTTTTAGTAGCGGCAGGGTCCTGCTATGTTGCAGGTTGGTCTCAAACTCAAACTCCTAGCCTCAAGTGGTCCTCCCACGTCAGCCTCCCATGTAGCTGGGATTACAGGTGCACAATACTACGTTATGCTAATTTTTCTAAGTTTTAGTAGAGATGGGGTCTCACCATGTGGCCCAGGCTGGTCTCAAGCTCCTGGTCTCAAATGATCCTCCCACCTCGGCCTCCCAAAGTGCTGGGATTACAAGCATGAGCCGCCGCACCCAGCCTGGATTTACAACCTCTACTATATTCTCTTAATCACACAGCCTCTCAGACATTCTGTCACTCATACAGTCATTTTCTGTGTCATGGATTCCAGCCTTACTACAGTCTCCTTCTAACAGTTTCACACACACAATCATGTTTAACAGCCTGTCTCATTCAGTCAATATTGCCAATATTTTCTCTCACCAGTCAGTTCCTTACATATGCATGCACACTCACACAATCTCATGAAATGTTGAGCCACTCATTTGGCCTGTTACTTTCTCACATACACAAATAGTCACTGATTTATAGTCACCACTAACTAGTCTCTCATGAAGTTTCCCACACATGCACACAAATCACCACCTCTCCTACCCCTTTCTCACTCAAGCCACTTTTTCACACACCCACGATCCCCGATTACAGCCTCTCCCACGAAGACATTCACACGCATACACAATCACACAGTATCTCAGACACCGTCGTCACCTAGTCTCACGTTTCTTCTCAGTCAGCTTCCAGCACCCTCAGTCCTTGATTTACAGCCTTTCATAAAGTCTCTTGCAAAGGGTTTTACCAATGGTATAATCAGTTTCTCAGCCACTGTCTGAGTCATCACTGTCCCTCAGTCAGCTTCTGATATACTCGGTCACTATTTCACAATCACCATTAGGCCCTTGATAAGTCACCTACAGTCACCCAGGCCCTGCCTCGGTCGTGCACACCGTCATTTTCTTCATATGGGAAGCTCAGCATGGACACACGTGCACAGCTTTACAAGTTTCTCACACACCGCCACGTGGTCACTTGCCGTGTCTCATTTGCTCAGCTCTTTTGCGTGGCCCCGGATTTATGGTTGCTTATGAACTCTTTCACAAACCCCCTGACGCTCTGACATCACTCAGTTGTCAAGTTCCTCTCCCACAGTGGCTGACTCCCAGTTACCGCTACTGCAAGTCTCTCATCAACAGTTCCTTGCCCCTTTCCCTTGCATGCCCAGTGACGCGGTCTCTCACACCGTATCAGTGGCTCCGTCCGGCTCACTGTCATTTTCTCTCCCACTTCCTCACAGTTCCTGAACCTGTGGGACAGAATGTGGCAGTAACGGTAAATCGATTTGCCACTAGTTTCAGGTGTACACACACACACACACACACACACACATGGCCTGTCACACTCTCCCAGTCACAGCCATTCGTTTTGTTTCTCAGTCTTTGCTACAGTCTCTCACGCCTGCTTTCGTACACACAGTTGCACCTTCTTGTATCTTTGGTCTCAGTTGCTGGTTTGGTCTCATAGCCATTCTCTCTCGTACAATCAAGTTCGCACCCATACAGTCTTACAGCTTTAGCTGACACTACAGGCTCAAGTAGTTTTGTACATTGTCTATTTCTCAAACGTTGAGTCGCCTATAATGAGGTTTGTCACCTATACAATCTTTGCCACAATCCCTGACAACCTCTACTGTAGTTTCACGCCCACGTAGTCTCTCACATGCGGTTTGGGTCACTCAGTCTGTCTTGCTCACCATCAAACACTGATGGGGCTGCAGTCCCCACTCTCTTCTCGTAGATATTATTTTGTGCATACCATCACAGGTTCTTGTACAGTACCTTGACTACTCGTCCAGGCTCAGTTATTTTCTGAAACACGGCCGCGATTTCCCACATAGACACATCATCAAAAGTCTGTGGTCACAACTTCTGTACTCTCTCAAACACAATCACAGCTTTCCACATCTCTGACACACACACGGTTACCAATATGCAGTCCCTACTACTGTTTCTCACACACGCCATCACACCATTTCTCTCACGATCAACCTCTGCCTCACACCCTCCACACAGTCATGCTTGTCACACTCAGCTAGTCCTTACAACATCAGAGAAAAAGTGCCAGCAGCCTCCAGCATCACTTTGAAAAATATATATTTACAGGAACAATTCCCCATTCTCTGGGACTCTTTAGAAAAAAAAAAGGTCCATTTTGGGGAAGTAAAACAAACAGTGGAGACGAGTGTAGCACCGTCCCCCAAATCACCAACCCCCAGGTCCCGAGGCCTGGGCTGGGCCAGCGCTAACAGGTGAGCCCAGGAGTCTTTTGAACCCACTCTCTCTTGCCTAGAATAGAGACAGG